AGGTCTATCAATACAAGAAAACTTGTATGATTTCAGTCAGTATTTAAATAAATTCAATAAGACAAATTTTTTAAATGGAGTTTATTGGGGTTATAGTGACTTTATTCATTTATATAAAAAAATAACATTTTGCCACTGAACTTGGACTTAGAGAAAATACTTTCACACTGGCATTGAGGAGACAGAGGTGCAGCAAGCATGTGTAGGCCTTGCTTATAGATAAAAATAAGCAGAGTTTTATCCACACATCAAACATTTTTGTGAATTTAAAAACAAAGGATAATATCTGAAGTCCTTTGTGTTAAGAAAAACTCAAGTGTTTCACAATAAAACAAGAAATAAAAGCATGGCAACAATTAGGATTGTAACATGCATATAGTGTCTCAATATGTAAAATTTTCATTAAATCTTTGGTGGTCCCATAAAGCTTGTGGAGTTTCAGTTTATTCATAGTTGTGTTTGCCCGACATGACATCAGCGAGGCACTGCCTGCATCCTGAACTCCTCAGGGGAATTGTTGAAACCCAACACACCCTCCAAGCTGGGCATTTCTCCAGGAACAGGTCTGAAGGTGAAGCGTTGGAGCAGAGATGCAAAGAAAAGGAAGAGCTCCATTTTGGCCAGGGGCTCACCGATGCACACACGTTTACCTGTGGGAAACAGAAGTTTTTATCCTGCTAACCCTTGATATCAAATGTACTCTTAATGGAAACCTAATTACACGCCATAAAATTACCTGCTAAAAATGGCAAGAAAGCATCTCTTTTTTGAAATTTGCCCTCTGAGTCCAAGAAATGTTCAGGATTGAAGACATCTGGAGTCTCCCACTCATTCTTATCAAACAGCACAGATGAAAGTATTGTAGTAACAGCTGTGCCCTGAAATAGAGTTATTAGATGTTGTTATTAGCTATTTATAAATAATTGACACACTTATGAATTGAATTTCTGACTCAGTCTGGTAAATAATCCCTTACCTTAGGAATGAAGTATCCTCCCAGTGTAGAATCTTTACTGGCCATTTTTGGTAATCCCAGTGGAACAATATTTCCAACCCTCTGGGTCTCGTGGATAACAGCATCAGTGTAGGGCAGTTTGGGCCTATCGGTCAAGGTGGGCAGGCGAGACTGTCCAACTACTCTGTCTATCTCTGCCTGCACTTTCTCTGAAAGGGGAAACAGTAACAACTAAAAGTCATCACAATATGCCATATTATTAACTGAAGTAAAAGTGGTCCCAAATATTAAAAACAAATGTCAGCAGCAGGTTTGCTATAACAACAATTTCTGATGCAGTATTTATATTTAATTGGTGTTGTGTGAAAATGAGGCTCTGAACCAACGATGTCTAACTTTCTTGGGAAAAAAAAAATGCCTCGATGCCCTTCCGGTCTACACCTCCTTCACTTTCATCTTTGGAGACTATTACACAAGGAAAGGAGTTGGGAAATTGAAGGGGGATTGTTTAATAAGGGACTAACCCTGTATTTCTGGGTAGTTGATCATAAATACTAGAGCCCAGCGTAGAGTGGTGGAAGATGTTTCTGTCCCAGCCTCAATCAGGTCAAGGGTACAAGCCAGAAGTGTTTCAGTATTAAAGCCAGCACGAGGATCCTCTTTTTTCTAATGTAACAGAAAAATACAGACATTATCCACAGTACTGGGCTCATTTAGCTAATTTACATTATTACCAGTTAATCTCATGATCATAAGGATTGTGATTTTTGATTAATGGATTCATTTGGGTGGCTGAAGTCTCAGAAACTTTTAAAAGACTTCTTTTGAATGCCAATAGGGATCTGCTAGTGGCCAGCAATGACATGAACATGATGAATTGTTATGGTTTACATGAACATATGCCCCCATGGCTATTGTTGCTTTTTTGTTTTTGTTTTTTTAATAAAGTGAACATAACAGGATTCCTTTTTGTGTTACCTTCTCCATCTCTGACAGATATGCATCAATGAAATCACGAGGGTCATCTGGGTTCCACTCTTCCTGGTGCTTTTCAATTTCTCTGTTTAAGAAAGTCATGATCTCCTTGTAGTTGGCATGGACAGTCTGGTGAGGTCCTGGCAGGTATTTCATCAAGCCAGGGAAGGCATCATACAGCTGGTGAGGATGATAAACTCTTAGTAAAAGACCAACAAGAATATCATAAGCGATCATCACATTGTAGTTTAAACAACGAGCACCTGTGCCTGAGCTGAACCAGCAAGCAGAAGGGCATCATTGTCCAGCTCCAGAATTTTGCGAAAGCTCGGATCAGTGTATTCAAAGCGATGTCCGAAGACCACAGAGGAGATGATGTTACCCACTGCATTTGTCATGATGTAGTGGGGGTTGAATGGTCTACCTGGGAAGATGTCAAATTCTACTCAAATCAATAGAAATCCTGCTACAAAAATGATTTCAGTGCACAGCAATCACTTGAGTCATGTGAATTCCTGCAGCCTACTTGCCTTGCTCCTCCTTGAAAGCTTCACAAAGAAAGTTGCACTCCACTTCAATGCACTTCTCCAGTGACTTTTGGCCTTCTCCAAAGTAACGCAGGTGAGTGTTGGCAAACTTCCTCTGCTTCTTCCAAAGATAACCGTTGCTCATAGATATCCCTTGGAGATCATTATATTAAGTTAATAATAAGGAAGCCTTTGCACGGATGTACATTTTGTAGGGGACTGAGTACAATGTGAGCCAAAACAAAATGAAGTTATCATTAAGGACTATGTGACAGGCAAGGCAAGACCCAATTGCAAGACTCGGAGACAAAAGGGTAAACTAAAAGAGGCAGCTTTATTGCTGTAGCTTATACACTTGAAAATACAAAAAACTCAGGTGAGAAAGAAAACTAGAAACTTAAGGAACTGATGAATTAGGAAACTAATGACATGGAATTCCAGAAGACAGCTAGAGAAGCCGACACCACAGAGAACAGAGGGAGACGCAGACAGTATGCACGCAGGAGGAGGAGATTGGGGTAGAGTGGACACACCTGAAGAACACAGCTGAACAGAATCTGAAGATATGAAAGACTGGTGAGTTAAGGGAACAAAACACAGAGAGATGAACATGGAAACATTAAGGGAGAAAACAAACAGAGAGGACTAAAGAAAGTATTAACTGGACACAAACAGAACAAACGTGAAGAAACCAGAATTGAAGAACTACAGTATAACTAATAAACCCATCCGCACAGGAAACTAACATACTCAGGAACTAGTTCATAATTATCTTATTATGAAATAATAAATAGGTCCAAAATGAAACTCAAAAACTGGGTCCAAGACCCAGGACTGTAACAGCACTAAAAAATAATTTCATTATATTTTTACATTTGATATGCTTTTTCAGGGTTTGTTTTGAGAATTGGGCCATACAGAGACGTGATATAATGAGGATGTACAGGTATTGATCATTTCTAGTTTGATGACAATCTAATACAGCTTAAGACTTGGGGAAGGAGGTTGGTACAGCAAAAAATATAGGCAATAGCACATGTTTACATGCACGTGTTTTAACTACTCACCTAAGCCCTTTAATACAACATGGAAAAGGGGGATGATTGGTCGATTAACAAAGCTGTCCAGCTGGTTGACAAGAGCCTCTTTGACCATTTTATATCCTGCAACAAACACCATCCTCTCACTGCCCCTCCTCAAACTGAACACGGGGCCGTACTTCTGAGCCAGCTGCATTTAGAAATAAATCAAGAGAAATGTTTCACAGTTGGCATTCCTTTAGAAGTAAAGACTTTTTGTCAGATTAAAAACCCTTCAAGTGGTAGACAATAACATAAACACAGTATTGAAAAGGATCTGAGCTGGAGTTACTAATAACTCCCTGAAACTTTTAAAGGTTTTTAAAGTTGAAGTCCTGCTATTATCTGTTGTTTTTCCATGTGCGCATTATATTGGCCAGTGTACTACGTGTACACTAAATTGCACTGTAAGGATCTTCTCCTCCTCACCTCATGCATTGTTTTGTAGTCTACTCCAGTGAAGATATTTCCTAGCAGAGGCACAGCCCAGGGTCCTGGTGGAAAGTTGCGAGGCCTCCGGTTTCGTATTACATCACTTAAAATTAACAATACAAAACTGAGAAAAAACCAACTAGTAAAATTCATACAATCGAAGAAAGCTTGAAAAATCATGGTTGAAGTATCAGAAATCCCTCTGCAGAGAAACAGTGCGGCCCAGCAAAGAATGCTGTGGTATGTGTGGTGTTATCATCAGGCTGCAGAGTGCTCAGGAAAAAGAGGCCCCAAACATGTTACATAACACAAATGGACTCTTGGGAACTGTCGGAAGCTGGAATTTGAACTATTCCAGCTGAGTGATGACTGTGAGCTTGTGTGTTAAATGTTACCATAAATGAGACTATTACAAGGTAAATCAAAGTTTGTTTGTTTGGGTTTTTTCAGAATTTTTTCACATCTGGAAAGTATGATATTTCACAGTTCACAATTATAAGGTGAAAGGTCATCTTGGGGTAGTCAGCTGGTAAAGCAAACAGTTATGAATGCTGGGGTTCTTGTAACTTCATTCATTTGTATTAAGAAATTATATTTTTGCCACTGTCGATTTGTCTTTTTGGAAATAATCTTTTTGGCTTTGGAGAAACCCTTTTCACATTGGCACTGAGGAAGCAGGGCTGCACAAGTATTCCACAGCAAGCCTGAATAGCTCAACACTCAAAATTCAGACATCATCACTGACACCATTCGCCCTTAGAAAAAACTAGCCTCGATACCCTTGATAAAAAACAACCTAGGGTTCTTGACATATGCTGCAAAGCCTCAGCACAGAGTTAACCATCACTAGTTCGAGGTTGCAATGAAAGACCAAATTGGCGGATGTTGCCAAATAGCCATGGGTTTTAGTTTCCTTAGGTCCTATTTAACATTCTAAGTTTGTCGTTATATTGTTTTCTGTTGGGTCTAAAGTCACACCCCGCTGATCCCAGAACTTATTCTCGTGAAAGAAAAACAAGGCAACAGCGATCGATCGTTTTACTTGCAAGGGAGGCCTTGTCGGTATCTCAGCTCATCATAAATGACCTCGACGACGGCCCCCTCTCGCTCCCTTTTATTGACAACGTTCACACAATAAACAATAGTTTACAACACATACCTTCCCCCGTAACCCCCCTTGGTTACAAAGACAAGGCACTGTGTGTGTGTGTGTGTGTGTGTGTTATGTGAGAATGTGTGTGTGACCCTGCTGATCAAAGGGTCATATAACATAAAAGCACAGCAGGAACATCCTTGGTCATAAAGAGGGTAGTCTCCCCCACACCCTAGATGGTTCACCCTAGATAACACAGTGAAGCCATACAAAGGGGAGGAAGTTTGCCAACATCAAACAAGGGTGTTCCTGTGATAAAAACACTATCACCCCCCCTCCCAGAATCTTAAGGATCTGGGGAGGGGAGGACAGAAAGAATACTTTAAAACTATGTACAAATGGTAAACATAAAAATGACAAACATTTAATATTTCAACTTAACATTTTCCTTTTCTTTTGTGGTACATACCATCAGTCTAAGTGGCTTTGTTATATATGGCGTTATTTTTGTGCCATTATTCTCAGTGCAAGTAAAGAAATTTTGAGTGCACGTAAAAAATTTTTTGAGCGCATGTAAAAACCATTTGCAGATGCACAAAAATAACGCCATAGTTATAAGCATTTGTGAATAAATTGGACATCAGGTGAAGATAATTCCTGTCTTCAAGTGTTCTTCCTTCACTGCATCTGTATCCCTCTTACAGGGAGCCACAGTGTATGCCACAAGGAACCTTCTGCCGGATGTAGCTAAGAAATACAGACCCAGAGGGAAGCTGCTTTGCCCGCCCAAGAAAGACTCTTCAACAATATGAAAGAAATGAAAGAAACTGATTTAAATAAGTTTTTAAAGCTCACCACACCAACTCATATTTTTTTCCTTTTCAACCAGAGCAAAACAACTCCTTTAACTCTCACCCACTTCAACTGTGCAAACAGGGAACTCAAGGTCCAAAGCAGTTTGGGCATGAAGTTTAACTGGATATTGAAAAGCATTTATAGAACACCTTTCTAATCTTACTGAGCACTCAAAGCATTTCAGTATGTTTAAAGTGTTTCATTTTATGGTGTCTTGTCACTATTCTCTCCTAAAGCCTGTAAGAGTTATTTAGTCATGACCCAAAGACACGCTGTGATGTATTTGTAACAGAAAATAATTTTACATTTAAAGGAATAAGACTCATTTTAAATTTGCTCAGTAAATTGATTCTGGCAGCCATTTTTAGAATTAATTCTGCTGTGAATTCTAGCATTCACATACTAGATTCTATACTAGATTTGTATTCAGTATTACACAATCACTTATCTATCTGTTGATAGGTAACATGTAATCTTTTGCAGTCCAGAGAAATTTGTTTTATCATGAAAGGAAATTGCATTTCTAATAGTTGTAAAAAGATGCAAAGTTCACAGAACAGTTTGATTGGCAAAGAATTGTAAAGTCTAATAGATAAAAATAGATAAAAAGGGCAGTTTTATCCACATGTCATCAAACTTTCTTTTTGTTAATTTAATTTCAATACAACATATATTTAAATAATTTGCCTTATTATAGATAAAGTTACTATTAGCTTATGGCATCATGTGGCACCTAATTTTCAGTCAGTTGCTATAATGCATGCACATTATTTTTTCAAGGTTGTCTAACCATTATTATGTATTATGTAAGCAAACTTTATTGTTTTATATAGCACTTTTCATAGAAAAAACTCAAAGTGCTTCACAGTAAAAGACAAGAAATAAAAGTACAACAACAGTTAGCACTGTGACATGCACATTGTGTCTTACTATGTGAAATGTTCGTAAAATGTTTTACAGAGTATATTTTCTGTGTTTCTAGTATGCTTTTTCTGTATGCTGTGATTTGGTGATCCCATAAAGCTTGTGGAGTTTCAGTTTATTCATCTTTGTGTTTGCATGGCATGACCTCAGCGAGGCACTGCCAGCATCCTGAACTCCTCGGGAGAGTAGGTGAAGCCCATCACACCCTCCAAGCTGGGCATTTCTCCAGGAACAGGAGTCAAAGTGAAGCGTTGGAGCAGAGATGCAAAGAAAAGGAAGAGCTGCATTTTGGCCAGGGGCTCACCGATACACACACGTTTACCTGTGGGAAACAGAAGTATTTATCCTGCTGTTCATTTTGCTATCAAATGTACTCTTAATGGAAACCTAATTACACGCTATAAAATTACCTGCTGAAAATGGCAAGAAGGCATCTCTTCTTCGAAATTTGCCCTCTGAGTCCAGGAAATGTTCAGGATTGAAGACATCTGGAGTCTCCCACTCATTCTTATCAAACAGCACAGATGAAAGTATTGTAGTAATAGCTGTGCCCTGAAACAGTGTTATCAGATGTTGTTATTAGCTATTTATAAATAATTGAAAGACATATGAAATGAATGTTAATTTCTGGCTCAGTCTGGTAAATAATCCCTTACTTTAGGAATGAAGTATCCACCCAGTGTAGAATCTTTACTGGCCATTTTTGGGAATCCCAATGGAACAATATTTCCAAACCTCTGGGTCTCGTGGATAACAGCATCAGTGTAGGGTAGGTTGGGTCTGTCGGCCAAGTCGGGCAGGCGAGACTGTCCGACTACTCTGTCTATCTCTGCCTGGACTTTTTCTGAAAGGGGAAACAGTAACGACTAAAACAGACAACTTAATAACCATCATAGTCAGACTGGTCTAAAATCTATATTCTTCAGGCTGTTCTCATTTTTCTTGTTTGTGCCTGCCCATCTGTCCCCCCTCATCCTGCTTGTGACCTAAAATCTCATGACAATACACCAATGGTTTACAATTCTTAAAATGCATTTGACAGACAGAAAAAAGGGAGTTCTCTCCTTTGGAGTTACAGTCAAGGATGCAAAGGCGTATCCATTATGAAAGTGGCCCACCTAGAATTTAACCCACAAATTCTTCTTGGAGGAGGAAACCATCCTTTATTTGCTTTCAGCTGTTTAAGATTCTCAAGCTTTTTGACCTTCACTTTTTCTTCATGCGATGATAAAGGAGAGTTGAAAGCAGGGATTGAAGATATGCAATCTGGGATGTGAGAAAGGGGGATAGAGTAATAAGTTACCAACCCTGTATTTCTGGGTAGTTCATCATAAATACTAGAGCCCAGCGTAGAGTGGTGGAAGCTGTCTCTGTCCCAGCCTCAATCAGATCAAGGGTACAAACCAGAAGCGTTTCAATATTAAAGCCAGCATGAGGATCCTCTTTTTTCTAATGTAACAGAAAAATACAGACATTATCCACAGTACTCGGTTCATTTTGGCAATTTACTTTATTACTAGTTAATCTCATGATCATAAGGATTGTGTTTTTTGATTAACTGATTCATTTGGGTGGCTGAAGTCTCAGAAACTTTTGAAGGACTTCTTTTGAATCTAAACACAGTTCTGGCACATTACAAATGTGACCTATTAGTG